CTTTCTGTATAGCTGCCCACCAGACCCAGCCTTCCTCACAAGCAGCCTAATATCATATCATTAAGCTCAGTTCTGTGTTTGTACTTCATAATGGTAAACTGTAAATGGACTGTACTTACATAGCGCCTTTCTACCCGCTCTACCTCTGAACCACAGCTGCCCTGATATGTAAAGCTTGATAAGCATTGCAACAGTGAGCTAGAAGGGCACTCGGAGAGCACACCAGTGGTGTTACTACTGGCGTTACAATTGAACTGATCTTGCAACCTTTCTGAAAGTGAAAAGTAAATAATTTATCTGCCCCATAATTCAGATCCATTCCACAATTTAATGGGTTCTTCCTTCACCCATTCCACACCCCTCCACCAGGTTTTATTTTCCGTAATCCTGCTCACAGACAAACAAACAATCCTTGACAGAGGTGACTGTTCCTCAGCAATAAAGCAAGGAACCTTACTTCAAATGATAAGGTGTGTCCATCTATAGAAGCCATTTCTCTTACCGGGCATCTCGCCAGTCTAAATTCACTGTATGGACAGTGTGTAAAGACACCTTGAAAATGACACATGCTCAGTCAACCTTCTGTGGATAATAAAGGTTAAGAAAATCTACCTTGACAAGCAGTGATTTGCCTTTGGCTCACTGGTAGAGGATTGTTTTGTTCTAATGGGATGCCTAGGGTTGGATGTCGTTCTGTACACTGTTACACCCACTACTTTTCAAGGGCAACAACGTGTGTGACCTTTGCCGACGTGAAATGGTCTGTACAATCACCTGGTAGAAACCCTACGGCCTCTTCTTTTCCAGGCTGTAGTAGCTTTTGCAATTACATCATGTATCTCTTACAAAACCCCATCTAAGGAATCATAAAAGTGCAGTGGTAAACAAGAGGTCTATTTCTGTAGGGATTCTTTCCTCAATGTTATCAGACACACAAAACAAGCACTTTTTAGTGGACATACTTTGGTGTTAAATTACGTTGCAGCCATTACAGCCCTTTTCATGGATATTTTCACATCTAACTCTGTGAATTAAAGGTTTATTTTGACCAAACCAGAGTTGGTAATTTTTGGAAAGACTGTGGGAGGACTTACAAAGTCACTTTTGGTGAGTTTTATTTTATTTTTGCCCCGTTGTTTTGGTCTGAGATGCTGGTGCTCTAGTGTGCCATCCAAGTTTATTTTTGTATAGTATATAACCTATAAGTTATTTAAGGTGTAATAATAAGTTAATGTGGTGTAGTTTAAATCAAAATAAGGACATAGACCACTCACATAGCTTTCATTATATTTGCCCCGGTGTTTTTTGTCCTGCCCAAAGCTCCACTGCTGTTGCTCCCAGAGGCTGTGTTACATGAAATACATGTTTTATAGAGCTCTGTCCTTGGCAATGACCTGCACTGTCTGCTTAGACTCAGCTAAAATATTGTTACACAGTGATCTTCGCTTTAATAAAATCATAGTGTTGTTGAGAATTCAAACAAAAAAAGGTTTTATAAGTATTATATCTCAGTGTAGGAACTGTGGAGGACTGTATAGGAAACCCAGTTTACATCAATCTTACTTAGGGTCAGTTACCGTGATCTAACCAATCACACCACAGTGCCAGAGAAGAACAGCGTGGGCTCCTCTTTAAGATCAACTCGCTGTATGCCAAGAGGCAAAGAGTCCCTCATCAGTCGACAGCTCCTGTACTGCCAGCTTACTGTACTTTAAAGGTTACTGTGTCAGTTGGAGTCAGCATCATTTAGTGTGTGTTTGTGTGTTCGACTTACCCACAGCTTTAAGGGATGTATATTTGTTGAGTCCCACTGTGCTGTGGTTGCTGTGCGGGTGTGGAAGCCCTTGTCCAAACGGCCCGTAAGCTGAGTTATTCAGATGGTACTGTTCTGGTGAGAGGCAAGCAGAGAGAAAGACAGTGTCAGTTGGTGCGGATAAGAAAACAAAACAAAACACAGAAATCAGTCATATTCTTTTGAAGCAGAAAGGATCCGGAGTCCACAGTGTGTGCGTCCCGTCCCATACAAACAGTTCATGTTTGCTTTTTTCAACCATAACCACAACCTTCCTTAGAGTTCTAGAGATGACGTAACCATACTGTGGTTGCCATATGCAGATGATAAATACAATTAAATAACGCTGGCATTGAAGCATGGCTGAATTAACTCCTTGGGTAGCCTGGGAGCACAAGTAAGCTGTGCGGCTCTACTGGAAGGGACTGGACTGTAAGCACCCTGTCACCTTCAAGTACCCAGTGTGTACAAGGCACAAAGCAGACTACACATGGCAGCTTCATTATAAATGGCCTATAGCCCTAGGCCCAACCAGTGCTCCTATAGACCTGTCTGCCCAAAGTTGGATGTGCGCCAGTTAATTTGTGGTAATTTGATTACACATCATTGTTTGGGAATAAGCAACATGTGACCACAATATAAACTGAAAAAAGTTAGAAAAACTACATTGTGACTTAACAATACAGCTGCGTCTTTAGGCCCTTACCATTTCAGTTTCACTTTTGTAATGCTTTATGTTTTTAAAGAACTTTCCAGTAAAATGAGACCTGAAGGCTAACCAACTGACAAATAGGGACATCTAGGGACCTCGTCCAGAGTCTGGGGCCAGGGTCCAGCTGCCATTTTTGATCAGGAATCCAGGACAATCAGAGACATCGTCACTGAACAGAATACAGGCTTTTGCAGAATCTTTCAACTGTCCAGTCAACCATATGTGTGGTGATAAGATTTAAGTAAACGTGGTAAATTGCAAGAAAACTGGTGAGCTTAAGGCTGATATACTATGATTGAAACAAGCTAGGTTTTATGAAATGTTATATGGGAAATACCCATAATACTGATGGGAAACAGTGTTGTTGCTGATCTCTAAGGCTATTTTTTGGAGGGAGAAAAGCTGGCCATCACAGAGAGGGGCAAGATAGATGAACCCTAACCCTGCTCTAAGGGGTTATTGGTAAAAACATTTTACCCATTTTATATAATACAGAACACTGAATGGCTATTTTGCTGTCAAGCAGGTGCAGATGCGTGCATATTGGCAATCAGCTGGCCATTAGCTTTCTCTGCAGTGAAACTTAATACTATATGCCACAGTGGCAAGAGATTTTATCAGGTCAGTCCCAGATGATGAACTGGGAACATTGCTGTTCATAGTTGGAATCTTAACCACTCAAATGTGACTTTAAACAGAAGTTAAATGGTAACATAAGGTGGAATATCACTTGGACTTTGTCATTGCCTCGGCTCGGTGTGTCATGGCCCTAAAGCTCATCATTAGTTGTACTGGGAATCTCTCAGGTGGTAATGTGCACTGTGGAAGCATCACATAAACACTGGATTAACATGAGTTAAAAAGCATCTCTCTTTTTCCCCGAGGCCGGTGAGTTTGGGTGAGACAGCGGCCCCAACCCAGCCAGCCAGCCAGCCCCATGCTAAATGAACTGAGGTTAATGAACAATGGAACAAACTAGCTGAGAGAGTAAAGCCTTGGCTATTAGCATTAATGAAGTCCACTGATGCAGCCAGCGCACTTGATGTCAGCCCCAGGGATGGATGGACACACATGCACTGCTCACGAATGTCCTCACTGACTCACACACAACCACACAATATGCTTTATAAGGTAATCTGGATGACAGCAACAAAATCAGTGGTAATTGCCATCCTTGTTTTAACATCATCAACCTTTAAAATGTGTGTTTGTGTGTGTGTCAGTGCCTCTTTGTGTGTTCAATTGACAGCTCTTTTGACTGAATGATTCTGTAAAGCGTATTGATATGCTCGCCAAACTGATTTGCCATGCACAAGTCAAGTCTATTTGTGCGCAAGTGTGTATGTGTGTAGCAGAGTGTCACACTGCGAGAAGCACAGCATCAGAGACAGACGATTTCATCACATCTGTGGCTGTCAGCGCTGAGAAAGAGGTGTACACGACACAACTTCTGAATACTAATCATTGCACGCACGCTCACGGAAGAGAGTTTGGGAGACTCGTGTGGTTTAGATGATGAACAGAGAGAGAGAGAGAGAGAGTGGAGAAACATGGAGGATGTTCTGGTGTAATAAATTTGAAAATGATGCTGAAGCCAGATGGGTGGAGAAATGTCAAGAGTTAGTCTTTACAGTAACAACATTTAAACTAACAACTCTGAGCCTCTACCTTAATCACTGTTCACACACACACAAACATAAATGTGCTGTGCGCTGTAGTTTAAGCTGTTTATCTACAGAGAGTGTGTGTGATCTGTCTGTGATTCAGTCGTGCTGACCTCTCAGCATGTGCCAGATAAGCGGATTATGCAGAAATAGTTCTTTTCACACTGTCATCATCATCATTATCACTATCTTCTTCATCATCATCTTCTACTACCATCTTCTTGTCATCTTCTTCCTATATTGTACCTCTTGACATCGTTGGAGCAACAGTAAATGACAAATAGATCAAGACACGCTGCTACTCTACTGTATATTCATTGGCTGTCATGAGAAGCTTGGACTGTGTGTGTGTGTATGTGTGTTTGTGTCAACTCACTGTCAGATAGCACTGATGTCAATGCTCTTCACATTTAATAACTCCACTTAACTCTGATCAATGGTGGAAAAACAACTGGTTGTCCTTTGGAGATTTTTAATATTATAACATTATTATACAACATTTAATATCATTTTTCTTGACCATGATGGAGATATGACAAACCATACTTTTCCAGTGTTTCTGATGTCTGTAATTTGTGGAGTTTCTGGTAAAATACAAAAAGGTTCCCATATAGTCATCATTTTATCGATAGGTTAGCCATGGCTAGCATGTAAGATAGCTGGACTCAAAGTCCCATAAGATGTTTTTTTTTTTTTATAAAAAAGAAATAATGGGGGGGG